GTGCCCAACTAGGAACTGCCACAGAGCAGATATTCATGCCTTAGAAGTGTTTTAACAACCAAGGGAGAACGTGAGTTGAAGGCCTAGAACAACAGCTTGGCCTTGTTGTTCATCTAAATAAAAGTTGGTCATGTCCTCCTCACTCTTTTTTTTAAAATATTTTATTTATTGTTAGAGAGAGGGAAAGAGAAGGGGAAAAACATCCAGGGACCTGGCCTGAAACCCAGGCATGTGCCCTGACCTGGAATCCAACTGGTGACCTTTCAGTTCTCAAGAGGACGCCCGACCAACTGAGCCACACCCGTCAGGGCCTCTTCACTCTGCCCCTTTCCTCCTTATACTTTGTCATTTCGGGCCTCATCTTTCTCAACCAACGTTACCACCCTGGTGTCCTAACCTGATCTCCGAACCCATCAATCCATTACATTTGGTCTAAAGCACAGACCTGACTGGTTACATCAAACGTTTATTTAGCACCCTTCAATGCCTGGCCCAACATGTTACCAACGTAATGCCCACACTTCTCAGCAAGAATGCAAGGTCCTTCCCAACCTCCCAGCCTTACCCCTTAGGATTTCCCTCTCCCACACACATCCTCCTGCCCCCGCCTCCACAGTCCATCTGTTGCTTCCCAACTGTCCGCGCTCTCAGGCCCCCACACCTACCCAAAATGTTCTCATTCAAAACACAGCCCGGCCCCCTCTTTGGAAATGCCCTGAACCCTGGAATTTTCTTTAGTATTCCAAAGGCCTTTCTGCACCCTTCACTCACAACATTTCCCAAACTGTCTTCTAAGTTTCCTGGCCTTGTTTCTAGTAACTCCCGCCCAGCTACGACATCCTGGAAGGCAGAGAACAGGCCACCTTATCACGGGCGTGTGCCTCCCAGGGTCCAGCATGACCCCTCCTCTCAGAGCGGGGCTGGCTGGTTCCAGCGACAGAACCAGAACCGTGACACTGCTCTCAACAGTGGCGGCAGCCTGGAAAAGGAGAATGCCGCTACGAACGCAAGGCATTTCTAGAAACTTTTTGAGGTTTCTTAAAATCCAATTAATTTTTTTTTAAAATCTCAAAAAGATTAAAAAATGCTGAGATAAAATGTATACAAATGCTCATCTTAGAAGGTATATCAGGCCAAAGCATCAGTAAGAAAAAATAAATTAATGGAATCTCAATATTTATTTATACGACCTAAAGAAAATTTCAAACATGAGGTTATCTTTGACTCATTTTCAATAGATATTTTTAGAGCCAGAGCAGTTTTACCAACGGCAAAATACTAAGGATTTCCTCTCACAAAGGGGGAACATCAGTCGAGCAGAACACGAGCTGGAGAATAACCTTATTGGCTATGCCTAAGATTTTTCATTTAAAAATACATTTAAAATTATTTTCTATTTTCAAATGGCTTAAACATTTCTCAGAATGAAACACTGTGTAAATTTACCTCTGCCAATCATCCCAAGGACTGACTTTATATTTCATACAATTCATGACTATTATCTGCAAAATTGCTACACAGGTACTTGATAAATAATACAGCGATACAAAATATCAGTCTGAATAATGCATTTTCAATGCATCTGTTTAAAACCGAGTCCTTTTCCACAAGGCAGCTGAAAGAGATAAACTGCAACTGAAAGAGATAAACTGCAGCCGGTGGGGGTGAAAGGAAGAACACTATTTCAACTCTTTTCAAAAATGTTCCATGTGATTCGGGTTTTTAAAATTCCAAATATAACTCACTGTATGTAGCACCTCCTGTACTTTCCAGTATATTAGATAATTGCACAGTAAAGCTAAAACAAAATAAAGGGAAACATTTCAGCCACCCACCCTTCTCCCAGGAAATGGGAATATTAAACACACACAAAGCACCTTCTGAAGGTCAGCACCATGAGCCCCAAAGAAAGCTGTTTTTTTTCTCCGTTTAAAAAAATCTGTCTGAGGATTTAGAGAACTTAGGGATCAAGGGAGAGAAGAAGGCAGAATTGTGTAATTGCTGGTTTTGGTAAAAAAGATAGGTTAGTGATTTTCTAATCCTGCTCTGGAGAACCACGTTCGTGCCTCGGCCACCAGGGGCTCCCAAGCCCCCGCACCCGTCAGACAAGTGCCATTTCTCTGAGTCTGTTTATGTATTGGGTCTCCGAAAAATAACTGTCTGAACAAACCTGTCCGTGGCTTTAAAAAGTCTGAAAATCACTAAGAAGTATTCACCAATATTCTATGTATAATATTGACATTAACACCTAATAAAACAATAAACAGAACATTCATAAGAGAAAATGTTTTTAAAAAAAAAATGGCAAAACAGCCCTGGCTGCTGTGGTTCAGCAGATAGAGTACCAGCCTGCAAAATGGTCACCAGTTCTATTCCAAGTCGGGGCACATGCCTGGGCTGCAGGCCAGGTCCCCGGATGGGGGCACGTGAGAGAGGAAACCGATCCACGTTTCTCTCACACACTGATGTTTCTCTACCTCTCTTTCTCCCTCCCTTCCCCTCTCTGAAAATAACTAAATAATGTTTTTTAAAGATAGTAAAAAATGCTAAGACATTAAGTAGGGACGACTAATATCTGTAGCTGCTTTACCTTTATAATTAAATCTGTTTCTTTTGCCTTTGGTCAGAGATTTATTGGGTACATTGTTTGTTTAGGGAGGGGGCACACAGGTTGACCTTTTCCAACTTGGTTTTGGCAGAAAGACAATGCGTGGTTTTAGCAAGAAACTGGCTGTGAACCCAAAGGGAACAGTGGTAGAAGGGAAAGACAAAGACGTGGAAGATGAGGGGAGACACTGCTGGGTGTGTGTGTTTGGGTGGGTGCAGCGGGGCTACAAGATAAACCCAGGCAGGGGACACACCTGTCCCACCTTGGTGGAGGGCCACAGAAAAAAATTACATCTTTTCCCAGGGACACTTCTGATCTTAGCATCCACTTCTGCCCATGCCCCCACTTCCGAACCAATCAACAGCACCCAAAATCAGGAAGCACTGTTGGACTCCAGTGATTCATGAAAAGTCCTGTTCTACACAAATCGGACTCTGAAAAACACCCACCATTTTATATGCTTTGGTTTCTCTGATGAAAAAGCTGTAGACCCAAAAGCGTCTTTGCCAATGACTTGGGCCACGATGCAAGCAGATAACAGGATGGGCCAACTTTTCTCCCCCCCGCCCCCAGCCTCTGGTAATCCAGGCTGAGGTTGTGACAGAGAAGAGAAGAAAGTTTCAAAATCATCTAAGAAGGATCTACTAATTTGCTCTGCCTTTCCAAAATGCTTGTCTAAATGAGGGGCGGTTTTCTCACTTGCCAAACTTTTTATAATATGGGAATTACAGAGAACGTAATTGAGTCTCTCCATATTAGGACTCATTAATTTCCAAAGATTAAGATCAGAAAAAAAAACATTAATTAGCTTTGCATTTTGATAGCAAACTGTACGACTACATAATGATTAAAACAAATGCTTTCCATTTGGTTAAAAAAAAACTGGTAACAAGATAACAATTTTAACTTTAAATTTGTAACATTTAGCTCCTAACATCAGTAAATGCTCTTTTGAAGACTTAGAAATTAAAATTCTAGTTTGTCCCAAATACGGAGAGGCCAAATATGACTGTCATTCATATACTGTCAAAACTTTGGTCCTTTAATTGCCCTTTAATTATTTTACTATGCAGTTGACCCATTTAACAGATATTAAGAACCGCAACTCTAGTTTCTTTCCTACAGTAAAACCGTGCTGAAGGCAATTCTATACCTACATCAGAATGCCGATAACAACCTGATGTCTGCGAGGTAAGTGCGGTGACCCAACAATCTACATTCCAATCTGGACACATGCAGACTTTTCTACGCTATTCTCTGGACTTGCTGACAAACCAGGAGAAGTTCCAGTGGTTTATTTTCTCAAAATAGGTAAGCTAGGGGAGCTATGTACAAATTAGTTACACAGATACTAGTTTCCTCAAAGGAGATCTAATGCAAAACACCTTTAGACATAATACTTAGTTTCTACCCAGATTCCAAGATGTCTTCTTGCACTGAAATTCACATTTGAAATAAGCTAAAACATGGGGGCATTTCAATCCTTTTTACAATAAGGGGCAGAATAAATAAAATTTAATTTATCTATAATAGGTTTTGAAATTCTAGACTTTCAACAAAATATCAACTCTTAATCTATGTAAATTCTTTCTCTTAAGATACATAAATTTTGTTTACAGAACATTTATATCAGGTGGATCACTATTAAATACACAACAAAGTCAAATCACATTTGTATTGTTTTCTATATAAACATTTATTTTCTGAGTATAAAAATCTAACCCTCAAAGAGAAAAAAAATTCATTGGTGCATTTCCTCCTCTATTTTTTAAACAAAAAACAAAAAGAGAGTTCATCTCTGACACATACACAGTCTTAAATTCTGGAGGGTTTTTTTTAAGTGAATTATTTCTACATCGCTGTCTAACCGATATGCTGTCAGGGGAGATGCAATTCACAGCTTGTACCACCCGAGGGCACTCCTAAAATCTTGAAACAACTTTTAGAATCAAATTTTTATCTACTAGGATGAAGGAGACCTAGTCCTACGTTAAGTTTCAAGGCCTTGGCCGTGGCTTAAAAAACATGTTTCAGAAACCATGTTTCTTCACAAAATCTGAGATGAAGATGAATGCGCATGATTTCTATCCCCTGCATCTTCTCTGGGCCTCACATCCTTACAACAAACGTTGAGGTCCTAGAGAAGGAGGAGCAGACCCTAAATGACTCCCAATGAGAGTGTTTAAAAGTCACTAATGAACCAATCTTGTACGACTATCCTGACATACTCCATGTTTACATCAACATAAAATTTCACACTTCTGCAGAGAACAACAGAAATTCAAGGATTACTTCAGATACATAGAGGACTTAAAAGCTGGTCAGAAAAGGTTCGTTTTAACTCAGACATGGCGCTTCGGTTCAAGGACACAAGCCGAGCACGGGCACTCACCTGTTTCCTGTGAGTTCAGCACTTCTAAGGCGTGCATCATGGCACTCGCAAAGACGTTGGCATCCTCTTTGCTGCCAAAGTTGAGACCATACACCTGTCTAGCATCTCGCCACTGGTGGAAGGTCTGTGTAGCTTGATTGTACTTCAACCCTTTAGGAATGGCACAATTTATCACCACCTAAAAGACAATAGTTCTTTATGAAGTCCAGCTAGTGACTGGCAGAGTCAACAAATCCTGACTGAACAGAGAGACTGTCATTCATTCACTCAAACCTGTTCTGGACAGACCGTGGCAAAAAAATGGTTGAAACAATTGTCTCGGGTACAATCAATCTGCAGAAATAACAGTCTGATTGATGGAAGTTAAGCTGTCGGTGGTTACAAAGATCTGGCCTTAAAACAGTAAATCAGAAAAACAAAGGAAAATATATACCCTTTATTAAACATATTTTAGGATGCTACTGAAGTATGATAAAAATCACAAAATGTATAAAACTTAACCACGTGGCCTCGCCAGGTGACTCAGTTGCTTACAGCACCATCCTGTACACCAAAAGCTGGCAGGTTCAATTCCCTGTCAGGGCATATACCAAGGTTGTGGGTTCAATCACTGGTTGGGCACGAGCAAGAGACAACCAATCAATGTTTCTCTCGCACACAGATGTTCCTTTTTCTCTCCCCACCCTTTCTCTCTCTGATATCAATAAACATAACCTCAGGTGAAGATTAAAAAACTTTAAAAAAAGTTTTAAGCATGTATCTCAGTGAACATTCCCACGGAGCCAAACTCTTGATCGAGAAATAGGACACCATTCTTCCGTGTGTATTTTAAACCCCATACAGCGCCACCTTTGGCTTTGTTGTACAGCTGGGGGTCATGCAAGATCAGTATTTATGTTTCCTGCTGCTTTTTGTTCCTTCTGCCTTCTTCAAGCTCCTGTTGGGACCATTTTTGATCTTGAACAATTTCTTCCAGTGCGGATCTCGTAACGAATTCTCTCCATGTTTGTCTGTCAGAAAATATCGTCATTTCACCATCATCTTTTAAGGATATTTTTATAAGGCACAGATTTTTAAGTGGGCACTCACTTCTGACAATCCGCTGAAGTCCACGGCCTTCCAGCTCGTGCTTCTATCGAGACACCAGTTTCTTGTTCTTCTTTAGAGTCGTCTTGTTTTCCGTGACTGCTCAGGAGTTCTGCCTTGGAACTTAGTTTACAGTGGTTTTAACACAATGAATTTATGCGTGGTTTTCGTTGTATTTATCCCACTCAAGGGTTACGGAATCTCTCAAGTGATATTCTTTCATTACCTTTGAAAATTCTTGTTCATTATCTTTTTAATTATTATTCTGCCCCATTCACCTCTCTCCTCTGGGACTCGAATTCTACAGATGCTACACTTTCTTTTTTTACTGTGTTCCCTATATTTAAGCTCTTTTTATATTACATTTTTCTCTCTCGGAATATCTTAAGCTTCTGTCTGAATATATATATATACACACACACACACACACACACACACACTCCAGTTTACTAATTCTTTTTAGCTGTTTCTAAATTGTTATAAAACCCATCTCTGAGTTGTTAAGAGCAATTATTTCATTTCTCAATTCTTAAAATCCCTTTTGGTTCTTTTTTCAAGTATCCAGTTCTCAGCTAAAACACTCAATCTTGTCCTGTGTTTCCTTGAATATATTAAGCACAGTTACTTTAAAGTCACTTCTGATAGTTCCATCAACTGGATTCCCGCTGGATCTATTACTATTCATCTTGTTTCTTTGGATGCCTAGGTATGTTGATTGAGTGCCGGACACTGCGTATGGACAAACACAAGGGCATTTTGAGGCCTACGGTGATGTATTTTTTCCAGTGAAAATTTACATTTGCTTCTGGCAAATGGCGAGGGAAACTAACAGTCTTAAATCACCTTAGTTCGAAAGTGAGTAAAATGAATGAATAAAGGTCAACCTTCTTCCCAGTGTCCAGGATTTCTAGGCCCCGAACCGTGGGCTGGTGTTTATGAAGATGACCCTCCTCATCAGCAGGGTAAGACTTTCGATTTTTGCTTGGCCAGTCCCACGACCCTCTCCAAAGCCTGCTTAGGTTCTCAGTCTCCTCTTTCAAAACTGGCACACGCCTCCAGTAAGCGCAGTTCCAAAGCTGGGTTCTGGTCTATGGTTCTTTCCTTCAGATCATAACGATTTTCTATTATACTTCTTTCCTCACATGCTCAGCAAACAACCCCATCCTTCACTGCCCCCTCCTCTCAAGGCTGGGAACTCTATGATGCTCATGAAACCTAACCACTGTGCCTACAGCATAACAGTTAACACATGTCAAAAAAACGGAATGTTTTAATATGTGTTTCTCTAATTTGTACATGCTCCCTCCTATAAATAAATGGTGGGTAAATTTTTTTTAATGGCTCAGTATAAAAAGTTTAGATGTCACTTGATAAATTATAACAACATGTTTCCACTTGGAAAGGATTGATAACCATTAAGAAATGTGACAGGGTACTCTGTCTGGAATGAGAGGAAACCAATTTTAATTAGAAGTATTCATATGTGTATGACCATTTCTGTTACTTCAGTATTTTTATAAAATTGCATTTTCTAATTGTTTATTGCTAGTTATACAAAAATGCTACTGACTTTTATATACTGATCTTGTATCCAGCAACCTTGCTGAATGACCTTAATAGTTGTAATATTTTATCTTTGTACACTCTTGTTGTAGACCGCTCTGCCTAGCTTTAGGGATTGTATCTCTACAATGAGATATATATTCCCTTGTAGCCCTTGTAGCTAAGGGCGAGAGACGACCTTTGGATGCCAGCCGCAGCAGACAAAGCCTGTCTCTGGTAGCAAACACTGCCTCAGTTCCTCTCCCTGCCCCCAGAGCTTGGTCGGAAGTCAATGACAGGTAAGACCCCTCACAGCGGGGGCAACCTAAGCCAGACTCAATCACCTGGGAGGCCTTCATGGAAGGACTCGGGGGATGCAACAGAGAGCAATGGACTCCCCTCCCCCCCCCCACCCCCCGAGTCCCCAAGTTCCCATGTTCTCTGGGAGAAGCGCTTCCTGGCTCTAATCCCCTTAAGCCTGAATGCCTGCTGGGGAGAGGTGCAGCTCCTTGCCTGGCCAGAGTGTGCCCTGGGGAAAAATCTGGCACCACAAAGACTTGCTGATAAACCTGTGAAATCAGCTCTGCTAAGAGTGCTTTCATTCATGATAAAGGTCCAAGAGGAAAAGAGTATGTCTCCCAAAGTTTCTGCAACTCTCTTCCTGACAGACACTGACTCAGACTGAAACCCTCAGACCTCTTTGTAATGTTATCTATGGTTTGATCCTTACCGCCCTGTATTCCTGTGTATTACAACCCAATAAAAGGCTATGGAAGAAGACGCTCGGGGCCTTTTTCTCCCCAGAGAAACTGGCCACAGCCCACTCCTCCATCCCCAAACAGATCTCATCTTGTCTCGACCATATTTATTCACTCACACATGTCCATGGCACCGGGGGGCGACCTCGAGAAAGTAGTTGCCCCCACACACTCTTGGGATATTTTTGGATACAACTGCATCACCAATGAATTAAAATCAGCTGTTTCTGTCTTTTCAAGCCTTACAGCTTCTATTTCTTCATCTTCATATCACTAAGTCACCTCCTCCACAAAGCTAAATGAAAGCGATTAAAGCTACAGTCCTCAACTATTCCTGAATTTAAGGAAACCCTCCTAGCACTGCCCTGTCCTGTCGTGTTCCCTGAATGTTTCTGTCAGTCATCCTTATCAGCTTAAGAAAACTCATTTTCAAATGTGCTGAGAATTATTACCTGCAGATTTTAATTTTATCAAATGCTTTTCCTGAATTTCATTTCTTGGAGATGTTCTCCCAATTTCAATACTAGGTTATCTCCTGTTAAACTACCCTTATATTGCTGAGAGAGAGAGAGAGAAATCCTATCTGGTCCAGACGTGATCTTTTTCTTCTTCATACACTTTGCTGAATTGGGTCTGCTAGTATTTTATTGAGGACTTCTATGTCAATGTGTCTAAGTGAGAATGGCTCACAATTTTCCTCTCTCAAACCGTTCTGTTTTAGACATCAAAACTGTACAAGTCTCATAAAATACTACTCTTTAAAACAATTTGTCTCTAACAAGTAGTGTTTTAAAGATTTTTCCATTTTGATTGCAAATGTTCTAGACTCCCTCTGTTTTATAAAATTTTAGGTCATTAACTATTGATATATTTTATATGGCTGTAGGTCTATTAAGTTCTGCATTTCTGCCAGTTTTGGCAAATCATATTTTTCTACAAAATGGCCCACTTATTGGCATGAAGTTATTCATAATTTCATGGTACAGTAATTTACTTTTGTACTGTACTGGCATCTTTCCAATCCTAATACTGTTTATTTGTAACTGTCTTTTTTTCTGTTTCAGTCTGTCGACTTTTCCGCTCAGTAGGGCAGCTTTTGCGTTAATACTTTGTATTTATTTTTATATCTCCTGCTTCCTTCTCAAGTCCATTTGATGTCATTAAGTAAGTTTCATCCACTGAAGGGCAGGCTGGACATCACCCGGGTTTCCACACATAATAATTGATCACTCAGGTCTAAGTACTTTCTAAACACCTTCTAATCTTCGTAATGATTTCATCTGAGTGTCATGAATTACTTCCAAGTGTTTTCAAATTTCCATACATTTTAAAAACACTTCATTCATCAAACACCAGAACTCATAGGAGAGTGTACTTCTCTTATGAATAAAAACGTGTTTTGTCTGGAAATCGCCTTACTTGTAAAGATGTCTTTCTAACTATTTTTAAGGATCTATTTTCTCCTTTGCCAACATTCACTTTTTGGGACTGTTCTTCAGTACTACCTACGTTTCCCCCGAAGACATGATTTTGACTACAGCTTCACTGGCCAGCCAGAGTCCCGCTGTGATGCCAGGTGACTTGAAGAAGGCAGGAGACCCTTACCTGGTGGTCCTGGATCTTCCTGCCCACCACTCGGAACGTGTTGTTGCCCGTGTGGTGGTAGATGTGGACCCTGCTGAAGCCGGTCGAGCCGCCCGCTGGCACCCACTTCTTATTGGCATCATCATAAACCATCACGGCAGCTCTTGCCTGACAGATACTCTGTTCGCTGTTTAAGAAAAAGGCAGACTTGAGATATTCAAAACGTGCTACGTTGTCCACGCATAAATCAGAGTCTCAGCGTTAGCCAACCAGCAGTCAGTCAACAACGGACGCTCTCCTGGGGGCTGGACAGGACAGTAGACAGAACGTCCTGCCCTGGTGAGCGCAGTCTAATGGATCGAACAACACAGTGTGATGAGGGACCACGCGGAGGACGTCAGGATCCGTGAACACACAGGCAACACAAAACAGTTTTCTTCTAAACCTGAGTATCTAACACATTCTTAACCTGAATACAACTATAAATATAAATGAATCATCATCTGTTTAATCGCATATACATTTCTGTTTGTGGGTCCCTCTTTACCAAAGCCATCTTCAATCATCATCGTTTCGGGGTGTGTGTGGCAAATTCTGGTCAGCGTCTCTGCCCCTTGGATATGGAAGGGCCACTAGCAACCAATGGCTGGTACGGTGACTCCCCTCAGGCAAGATAACTAACACCCTATGTTTCAAATTCCTTCTCTTAAAAATGAAAGAGTAAAATGAGACACTTTCTAGGGATCCTTCTGGGTTTTAATTCTAACCTTCACAGATAAATATTTTAAAAAGAGCAATTCCAGTAGAATGTCTTTCAATCTCAGCTTCATGTCAATTACCTGTTACCAAATGGGACGGAGACACACGAACAAATAAAATGAGGGAGGTGACCTTAATTTCACACAAAGCACTAGTTTCATCTTCCAAAAATTCTCTAACACCATCAGGAGGGGAAGACTGGTTGGAATTTTATTAATTCCATACCACATTTTATTTAAAAAAAAAAAATCAAGTACGGAAAGTGGTCAACAGAAGAAAACAGATACACGAACTCTATGCCGACTACGAACCGCCTTAACTGCAGCCCACAGAGCAGACTCATGTGATGGCTAAGCCGTAGTGAACGCAGCTCCCAACCTCATCTTTAATGACAGCTTTGCTCATTCCAACCTACTTCAGCTTCAAAGATTTCAAACAGTAAATCACATGGGTTCTTCCCCACTGCCCTGAGAAACAAAGCCACTTTCCAAACTTCTCTTCCCCCACGCCTGCCTCATCTCGACACTGTGTGTGTGTGTTTTATCCCACTTGCTGAGTGACCTGGCGACACAGGGTCACTGGAGACACAGGAGGTCACAGCACCGTGCAGTAACACTGCTTCGGAACAGGGGGTCCTAACTGCTTCTCCTCTCCCATTGGAGAAATTTTATAAAAACTTGTAACAGTATTGGTGCGGCAGAAGCACTGAAATAAACCCAGGGAGAGTCTAGATATTTATGTCGCACCCAAAATTTTTGGTAATGACTTCAACTTGAATTCTTTTTTAAAGCCTGATTAAAGAGCCTTTGTCAGCGCAACAGAGGCAATCTCTTCGCCACTCACGAGAGAGACACCAAAGTGACAATATTCACAGAAGCCCACAGAAAGATGACACGAACGAGGTAAAGCAAAGAGCCTCTGAGAGCAAGCAAGCCCAGACACAAATTTACTACTGACTGTAAGACACAATTCAATCAAATCTGTGAACTAATTAAGAACAGTACTTTCCAGGTTTCGAAAATTATCATTTTTGGACGCACAACAGGATTCCCATGGTTCAAGAAATAATGTCTCTTCAAAGAAAAGTCCCAGTGGGTTCCCACAAGCTAGGCAACGGAAAACCCCTATTTTGTAAACTAGGTCATTCCATGCCTCAGAAAAAGAAGTTTTCAAAAAAATATATACAAAAAAATCCAAAACCAGGCAAGTTAGATGTATTGCTCCAACTTCTCCCTCCATCTTTTCTTCCCCCATTACTCTCCGGCGGGTACCTGGGAGACATTCCATAGATGGAAGCAGAGAGTCCACTAAATAACAGCTTTTCACTGGTGCTTATTACACAGACCGCTAGCCAACAAGCAAACGTCTGGTGACTTCAACTTCCCTGGGAAAGCTCTAACCACGAAACAAAGTCATCTCCAAATGAGCACATCAGAGCGGCCAACAAAGGCCAGCAATGCAAAAAATCAGTTGATTCGTTTTCTAATGAAGGTGAAAAGAAGTGTTTTCAGAATGAGGTGTTACAGGCACAAGTCTAACTCTGAACAAAGCCAAGGAACCCCAGAGGAGCCAAGGTTAAAGAGAAGGAAGAAATCGGACGTGGGCAAGAGCCCAGGTGCTGCTGGGAAAGCAGTGAGAGCCACAGGGGGCGTGGCAGGCCCCGAAGGAGAAGGTTAGGCCGGAATAACTGCAGTCCTAGAAGACATCAGCTCTCCAGGAAGCCACATCGAGGGCCAGCCAGGAAGAGATGACACCCCCGCTGGGGTTCTGAGTGACAAATCAAGTCGAGTCTTTCCATTCCTTTCCACAGCATCCGAGGACCTGTCTTGCTAGCGACAGACATCCTGTGTTATAAAAAATATTTGGTCTTTGTCCCGGTTTCTGGCACAGAGCTCCTAAACCGAAACCCCTTGGCATCTCCAGAGCAGTAAGAGAGTTTTTGGTATGCTAATGAGATGACTGTAGGCTTCAGGGTGGAGGCTGGTTGCCAGAAATACAAAGTAAACGCGGATTAGAGGGTTGAGATGTTCGGTACCACCCCACCCCCAGCCCCTGGGGAGGGCAGAAGGGCCAGAAATTGAGTTCACTCACCAATGGCCAGTGATTTCATCGATCATGCCTACGTAAATGAAACCTCCGTAAAAACACCCCAGCAGCTCAACTCAGAGTGCTGGGTGGGGGGCTGGCCCACAGTGGGCGTGGAAACTGCACCCGCCCCACACCACCCCTTCCATCTGGCTATTCCTGAGTTGCAGTCGTTACAGTAAATCAGTAACAGTAAGTAAAGTATGTGCCTGAGTTCAGGGAGCCATTCCGATGAGTTACCAAACCTGAAGGGCGGTCGTGGGAACCCCTGCATTTGCCGTCAGCAGGGCGTAAGCAGAGAGTCCAAGTGCCCCACTGGCAGCTGGCGCCTGAAGCAGGGACAGTCTCGTGGGGGGGAGCCCTCAGCCTGTGGCACCTGTGCTAACTCCTGAGAGTGTCACAACTGAACTGAACGACTGTCAGACACGCAGGCGCGTCCAAAACCAGAACTGGTGGTGACACAGGAAGAAAACCACTCGGCACACCAACCCCAATTCCGAGTGCACAAAATGAGCCAGTGGCTTCCTGTCCTGCACTTCACGGACCCACGAACTTCAGATGCAGGTGGGATGAACCAACACAGAAGGTCGACACTATGTTGGCCTACTTGCCAGGTAGGAGGTTGGGAGTGGGGGAGGGATCACCGTAACTTCATCAAATGAAGACATTCTGGAACTTAAACATCGCACAATAAAGAAACGTACTGTAATGTACCATAAATGCAGAGGCTAGCTTTCCATACAATTCTCCACATTGTCTGTTTCTTTCTTTTCATTTCCCTCTGATCCAATGAAATACTTAAGAGGGTCTGCTTGAAAGCACCTCTGGCCCTAGTCCCAAAGATCTGCCTGTGCAGCTGTATACAAACAAGCAATAGGAGAGACAGCTCAAAGGGTCTTCTGGCAGGAATTTCCAGCTTTCTCCTGGAGGATTTTTAGCTGAAAAAGGCAACGAATCAATTTCTGACGTGCTGAAATTGTACACACCTGTGCAGTTTTTCAGGGACAGGAACAAGGAAAGGAGGCGAGATTTAAGAACCACAGCTCGTGGAGTCAAAAAAGGGGGGGGGGGATGAGGATTGAAACAAGCACGGCAAAAACACCCCCAAACGTTATGCTTGTTACAGGACCATTCTCTCTCCACATCGTAACAAGCCTCCAAATGAACACCTGGCAGAATACGCCTACAGCATCCCGAGTCTGCAGGGGACTATGAAACACCAAATCAGTAAATTACTCCGGCACAGACTCCGGCACAGTTTTGTGGGGATCAGGCACTAAATTAGTTGTAAACACAAATCTCATTTCAAGACCAAATGCAGCTGGTATATATAGGAGATGACAGTTTTTCTTTCTGATGCTAACTTTTGTATTTTAAAATAAAACAGGGCATCGGAAGGCTAGAGACAGCCGGTTTTTCTTTTTAAGCATAAAAGCCCTGCTACTACACTACATTCTGTGGCTTTGTCAGGTAACTCATTCCTGACTAGTCAGACTTCCTGAACAGGCAGATATGAGGGTAGAGCATGGCTGCTGAACCCTATTCTTATAGTTACCCAGTGAATGAAAAGCTCCCAGTATTTAAGCAAAGTAAGGATTGCTTGGCTATTTATTGAATTGCAATGAAGCCAAGTCTTTGCAAACAGCAACTTTCTTTCGAAGACACCACTCATTAATCATTCCTTGTTGGAGATGGAACCACCATGACGGTGGCTAGCACACAGGAGACAGGCTTCACGGGCTTCTTCAGGACCGAGTTTTGTCTGACGAAGTCCCACTTATCGAGACCTGGATCAAATTCCCTTTCTCCGTTAAGGCTTTCTGGGGTCCCCAAAGTCACAGATACCTGCCTCCTCCTGGGTCCTCACAGTATTCATTAATCTCTTAACAAGGGCGACTCTCTGAGGGGTAATGTTTGAGCCACAGGAAGGAGTGGGCACTTCACTCCAAATGTGCTGGGCGGCTACTCGAGAGCTTTAGGCAGAGCAGGCCTTACATTTTCAGCAGACGGCTCTCGCTACTACAGGGATGGAGACGGGATGCAGGAAGGGGGTACAGAAGTAAAGAACGGAAGCACCAAGTCCAGTGTGAGATGAACATACGGTGACCCTGCAGCCCCACTAGAAACACAGGAGAGAAGCGTGTGGGAATACGTGTTGGAAGGAATGCAGCAGGGATCGCTGGTACACAGATGAGAGGAGAGGGGAGCTAAGGGGACAGTCAAAGGCAGGAGAAAAGGTATGATGTCACCTAGCCTTTTACTGATACTCCCCAAGTATCTGTGACATGTGATAAAGAGGGTCACTTTGGAAAGTCACCGGCCTGATTCCTTTCTTTTTACATG